TGAAAAGCCTAAAGGAGAGGACCTGAAGGCCATGGTAACATTCAAAATTTCCTTCACTAAAAATTTCAAATGGGTGGAGGAACTTAAAATGATTGTTCTGATGAACCTAAACTATATCATTTCCATTCATATTGAAGGCAGTAGATACAACCATTTTGGGACTCTCGAAAGAAGAGGCTCAGAAGAAGCCATATATTGCTTCCATGGGAGTGTACGTCTTTAAGAAGGAGATACTTTTAAATCTTTTAAGGTATTGTGCATCTAATGCTATTTATGAATCTAGTAATTTTATACAAACTCAAAGGATTTTGTTCAACACGAAGTATTAGACTTTGCTTGAATTTGTTCAAGTCAGATGGCGCTTTCCAACTGCTAATGACTTTGGATCTGAGATAATCCCTGCCTCAGCCAAAGAATACTTTATAAAGGCTTATCTCTTCAATGATTACTGGGAAGACATTGGGACAATTAGATCCTTCTTTGAAGCGAACCTTGCCCTGACTGAGCAAGTAAAGCAACTAAACACTTTCCATTTTAAATTTTCTACTCTCTCTCTCTCTCTCATCCATCAGGACTTTTCACAAGTTATTCGAATTGTAGTTTGACCCTTTTTTATCGTTATTCTTGCTTGTTTGCTTATACCTTTCAGCCACCAAGGTTTAGCTTTTATGATGCTGCAAAACCGATGTTTACTTCAAGAAGAAACTTGCCACCCTCAAAGATTGACCAGAGCAAGGTCGGTAGTATTCTGCAATCGTCTAAATCTCTATTATAAAATCATAAAACTCTAATAAAAACCTCCATTCTTTTTTAACGAAATATGCTGTATTTGGCCCTAAAACAACACTGCATTTGGCAATTGGAGAAAAGAAACCAGTTATTAACAACGGCTGAGCATTTTTCTGGTTACTTGACAATTTTTCTTTGCTCTTTATGTTGAGATAATATTTGGGTCCTTTGCAGATCGTAGATTCTATCATCTCACATGGAAGCTTCTTAAGCAGTTGCTCTATAGAGCACAGTGTCATCGGCATTCGGTCCAGAATTAACTCTAACGTGCACTTGAAAGTACGCATCTCATGGAACTTTTGCAAGTGATAATCAAACTAAGGAGTTGAATTCAGTCCTTTGCAAAACATAAGTTTTTTCTGAACGGAGTGATTTTTGATGAGATGCAAAATGCAGGACACTGTGATGCTTGGAGCAGATTACTATGAAACTGAAGCTGAAGTTGCATCTTTGTTAGCTGAAGGAAGAGTACCAATAGGAATAGGAGAAAATTCAAAAATAAAGTACGAACACCACAAAACCAAAAGTATTTTGGAGCCTGCTTTTCTCATTCCTCATTGTTGATATAAATATTATGTGCAGGGACTGCATTATTGACAAGAACGCTAGAATTGGAAAGAACGTGGTCATTGCCAATTCAGAGGTACCGTTACCATAGAGTAAAAAAGGGATTTGTTGCATTCGTAAAACCAATGAGATTTCAATTGACCTCGAAATGAATGAATTATGTATTACTGGAAACATATTGCAGGGCGTACAAGAGGCGGATAGATCTTCAGAAGGCTTCTACATACGTTCTGGCATTACCATCATCTCAAAAAATGCAGTAATTGAAGATGGTTTGGTTATATAATAAACATGTTTATCCCTCGTTGATGAACATGTCGATCCTTCATTGATTTGTATTATTTCTTTCGTTAATGTTTAATAAGAATGCAGAGGAGATGTAACAACAAAATATATCTATGGATGTGATTCTTCTTCAGCACAACGACCATGCCAAGCTGAGGGCATATAACATATCGAGGTAAATGATCCCTCCTCTTTGCTCTGTCTCTAAGATTATGATCATTCTTTTCTAAAGCCTGGTGTGAGATTTTTTTTTTTTTATTATTTTTTTTTTTTTTTTATTTTTTATAATTTTTAATGAGGGGATGCATGAATATTCTTATGATCTCGAATAAAATCTCTATTTATGTTAATATATTAAAAATCTATATACATTTTTCTATTCTTTTCTTGTCTCGTAAAAAAGCCTGCACTTTTTCCTTGTGCCTCGTGGAGGACTATTGTGCTTTAGTGCCCCTTGAGGTTTAGAAAACATTGGTCTAAGCAACCAGCTGATCATAGAAAAAAGAGTGCTTAGTTTTCGACTTATGCACTACAAACCTCTCTTCTCATGTTATAAGTTTGGTAACCACGAAAATGATTTCCTAAAGCCTACCCATCTTTTTGCCTTGATGAAGATAGTCGATGGCATTCTGGTAAGACAAAGTAGGACATCAAAGTAGGTAGAATAATGGCTAGCATGATGAAGTTCCAAATTTCTTCCACAGTCGCTTGTCAATGACATTCACAAGCACCAAGGTCCATAAGTTTGCTGCCCATCATTTAGCACAACCTCCTTATTAGTGCCATTAGGATTGCTGGGTAGCTCACTTGAGAAGTTTTTTATGCCTTTAGTGTGCCATGTAGCTACATCCTTCCCATCTAAGAATCACAGCCCAAGAAAGTGAAGGAAAGCAAACTTGAATTGAAGAATAATAAAACCTATCTTATTCATTTCCATTAAATTTTCAACTAATTTGAATTTATTATGATTTGAGTAAATATCATTTTCATGCATAATTTTTTTAAGTTAGAATAGTATTTTAGTACTGACCTCTTGAGACTTGTTTAATTTTAGTTTATGTACTTTCAAATGATCAACTTTAGACAATATACTTTCGATAAATCTTAAATTTAGATCCTAAAATCTCTTTAAAAAAAATTCGAAAAGTGGCCTTACAAAATAATACCCAAGTTATTCCCTTCTCTATCTAATCATCCCTCGAAATAGTTATGGCATGTTGGAATCCTCCCAACCCACTAGTTCAACTCTTATCTTAAAAGTACTTTCTATTTTATTGGCGAGAACATCACCCAACTTATGAATATATATGTTTTAAAACACTTGTTATGTTTATTATATAAAAATGTGTTCTTACTTAAATGAACGAATCTTTAAATAAAAAACGTGTTCAATTGATTTACCCAAATCGTATATTTTCTTCTTTGGTTTCAAAACTTGTTCATAATTGATTGAAACTTTCAAGTCCTTTCCTTACTCCGTCCATGCATCTTTGAGACTGAGCTAAATCAAAACCACAAAATTGAACCAAATCCTTTTAAGAAACTTCAATCTTTAATTCGTTGAAATAAGGAACTTCAATCTTTAATTCGTTGAAATAAGCTAGGACGAATAAAGGAGATTATATGTATAGATCTTGCCTAATCTGCCATAGGACATGAATTGTACCATAAAAAAGGGGGGATTTTTAGTGCTTATCTTAGCTGGGAGAAGTCCATACAAAGAATCTTATCTAAAATTTAAATCCCTCCACATCGAAAACGACATCCAGGAATCTTCAACTTCACCAAAGAAATAGACTAATTATGGTCTTTCTAAGGGAGATGGCCAATTGGGAATTAACACGCCTATATTTGAAGTGTTTATTATCCACAGTATTAGTATAATAACCCTAAGAAGTGATATGGAAAAGAAACCCTTGAAAGCGTAAAGGATATGCTTGGGGACGGAGAATTCTTGTCCCCAATGGTACACGATGCGCCACAAGACATTCTCTTATCCTTTAAAAGTAGGATGGTGTTGATCCTTTCACTCCAATGGTATGGTATTAACCACTAAATTATGTATTTAAAAAAAAAAAAAAAAAACCTAGCAAAAACAAGGTCGTATCTTGAAGAGACAATTTTCTTGTGCCGGAGACAAAATCGTCACACAATTTTATTATATTGGATACATAGGAGACAATCATATCTAAACAAGCCATTGAGAGAAAGATTATATGGTAGGAGATTTTAGAATTAGAATATATTTTTAATAAAAAAATTTAAAAAAATCCAAATATGTACACTAAAATTTCCTACCCATTCTCTCCTCTTTTCCATCCCACCTAGATTAACATTTNAAATTCAAAAAAAAAAAAAAAAAAAAAACAAGAAAAATATTAATGAAAAATAATTGGGTCGATAATTAATTTATAAAGAAAATAAACAAAAAAAAAAAAATGATAATATCATTTATAAAATAATAGTGGTGGGGTTGTGTCAACATCTAGGAAAATTGATTGATTAAAGTTGTTGATATGACTCTGATATTTTAAAGAGTATTTGAAATTTGGTTATATATTCAATGCATTCTAAATTGTAATTTGTAATGTATTATTATTCTTGACTTTCATTTTCACCAAAATTAGAAGACATATACTTTTTATGGGTTTCCTCCACTTTTCAAATTAAATATATAGAAATTCAATCTTTAGCCCTATAAAGCAAGATTTCAAAGACCTACCCACTAATAGGGGTTTAATTGTAGTTCTTCCCTAAGCTTAGTGCAATTTTGGAAAAATATTCTTTATTCTCCAACTATTTTTTAAAATAGTTTTTTTTAAGTAGGTTTCAAAATATTTATTAATATTAAGTTGCAATCTTAAAATTAAATATTTGAAAATAAAAATAAAACTTAAATAAATGATCGGAACATCTTGAATTAATCCAACTAATCATCTTGAATTAAATAAATATTTCTAGTTAGTGACTATAATTTGAAAGCCATTTTCACTAATCCTTCCCTCATAATACACACCTCATTGTGGTGTACTTCAGATTCAAAAAATATGTACAGAATCCAAAAAGCCTTAGAAATCTCTCTCTCTGTCTCCTCTGTTTCACTGTGAATATGTTTTAGAGAACTTTAGGTTTCTCTGCAACAAAGATCCAGACAGCTATTGAAGCATGAAAGCCTCCTCATGTGCCATTGCAGGGATGCCAGTTAAGGCCATATCTTCAAAACATGGATTCAACTCATCTAAGCTTTTGCAGAGTCTGATGATTCTGTTTGTGATTCAGATCAACAAAACAGAGCATGTTTCATGGCACCTCTCTCTCTCTCTCTTTCTCTCCAAACCCAAAACAAAACAAAACAGAGAGAGAATGAAAGCGGCATATTATTATTAGAACAACCATAAATTTTTCACTTAGGGAGGGGAGGAGGCTTACAAACCTTAGGTTAATTAACCTTCCAATGAACCACATAAACCAATTTAAAACCCAGTGATTAACAGTCTAATACTATGGCTTCTTCTTCTTCCATGTACAGCCATCACCACTAACTTAATACTTGGTGACTGAATTATTGATTTAATCTGAATTCTGATACCCTTTTCCTCAAATTCTTCGAATCCTTAACCCTTTTTAGGACGCATCAAATGGTTGTTGGAAGATGCTTGTGAGTTCACATCAATATTGATTTGAAACTGTCGGTTTGGCTTCATGTTATTGTTTCTTCCACGCCTCTGTTTTCTTGCAGGCTGCAGGGACCTTGGGATGAACACGCCGGTGCCCTTGCTTACGCTGCTGTAGGCTACGGTGGCATGTTCATGCCCTGCCAGTAGCTGTGTGGGGTGGTGCCCTCCATGAGACAGAGCCTGCAAATTGATCGATCTTGTTGGATTACACAGCCAAAACAGAGAGAAATACCCAAGTGATTGAAAATTTGAAAATACTAAATCCCATCTCCATCGCAAAGCTATATAAATGTTGGGAAAAGGAAGTGCACCTGAAGAGAAACATGTGGATGAGGGAGAGGTTCTTCGTTGTCATCCATGAGAAGAAGAGAAAGCTGTCTGCTCAAATCAGCAAAGAACAAATCATCTTCAAATTCCAAAGCTACCTCCATGTTTGTCTAAACTCGGAACTGCAATAACAGAGAGTTAGCTTGCTGGGTGGGTGTCTCTGTTAGCAAAAGAACTAAAGAGATAATTGCTTTTTTCCTTTTCATCTCTCTCTCTCTCTCTCTCTTTCAGGTGAGGATATATAGAATTTAGGAGAGGGAAAAAGGGAGTGATGGGTGAGTTTAAACCACATTGGCTGAGCATGTGAGATGGTGGGTCATTGCCCACAGCTGGCCAATCTGTCTAAAGTTCAAAGCCCCACAAGAATCATTAACATGGTGTTATCCAGTAGGGGAAAAGATGAGGATCAGTTGCCGGCAACCAATCGCCATCTCCAAGCCAAAGAGATTGCCTTAAATCTTCTGCGCACTTGGGTTTCTGTAGCAGAGCATCTCTTAATGGATTTCCTGTTCATCAAAGCAAATCCCATTAGTCTGTTTCATAATACGACTTAGATCTGATCTCATGTATCCAAAAAGGCAATAAATGATCTGTTTTGTGGGAGAAGATCTATCTGGCTCTCAAATTGAACTAGATAGCAGCCTAACTGTCATAGGTACTCATCCGTGCATCTGTGTGTTGTTTGAGACCATTAGTTCTAGGAGTCGGTGGATGGATATCTCTATCGAGGGGCCACTTGCATTTGTGGTGTCAGGGAACATAAAAAACAATTTAAGGGATGTTTGGCTCATGATCAATAAAACAACGACAGTGATCTGTATTTAGATTTTGGTAAAGCCTGCAAACAAAGTCACTATACAAACAAACATAAACTTGAATCTTTTTATGGTCAAGCTTAAGAGAAGGGGAATCAGATCTCCTCTACAGTCAGCTTTGGAGATAATCGAATGAACATGACATAGTGCAAAGGCTCATTGATATCCGTATCACCATGTTCAATCCACTTTAGAGTGAACCCCAATGAGCAAAGCTCTAAAGTATTAATCATGGTAGTAGGATTCTACATTTTCACTCGTTTTGCTAGCTGGTAGAGGGCCCCTCCATGTTTGCTTCCCAACTTTGTTTGTGATTGGAGGCCTCTCGGGGTAATTGCTAGACCATTACCTGTCAAAGGGTTCTTTCTTTCTACTATACCATTAAACATTCAGCATTAGTAAATCTCTTGGTTTCAAGAACATTACCTGTCTTCAGCAAGCAAATCAATCAGATATGAGATCAGCAGCTGATGAAAGAGTTCATTATAAACATTTACATAAAGCATGAGGATTGGTATCATTATTCAAATACAAGCACAGCAGCAACAACCATGCTACCCATTTTTCCAAGCTAAAGCTGATACTAATTACAAATGACAAGGAAATCTTCAAAAATATCCACTATTATGTCAAGTCTTAATCACTGTTAGCAGTTAATAGTCACATAGTAGCTTGAAGTAGAAGGATGAAAGAAGTAAATCATTGTGCAATACATCAGTAGTCTCTGGCAACATCTCTAATGTTCTTTTCAGGAAGAAAAAAAAATTGTACAAATGGGAATGGATCCGACCCCACATCAACCTTTTTCCATTCATTAGAGGGGGGAGAGAGCCATGACTCAAATTTGGAGATAAAAATGTAATGTAGTATTAAGCCCCACCTGCAGTGTCCATATCTGTAACACCGTCAACCCCCTTAAACGCCACACGTAATTTTCGGAGACAAGAAGTTTTCTTATCATTCTTAGAAGCTACACCAGTCACATGGACTACATCTTTCCAAACTTTACCCATCAAGTCAAAAAGTGGAACACTCAAATTTGATCTGGTCATCTCTTCAAGTACAGGAGGTGCCTGCATGTATAGATTCTTCCCTCGATGCGTGACACTTGCCTTCGATAACAAGAGCTTGGGATGATCTTCTAGAAGTTCAATGAACTGTTTCACACAAAAAGTGGGAGTAACGTCATGAAGGATTTACAAGATTTCTCAACATCTGAAATTAACGATATGTTTGCATAAGCTAAATAACCGACCTTTTGTAAAGAGATCGAAGAATCCAGCTCAATAAGAACACCTGGACCACAAACAAGACAATCCTTATCTTTTACAAACTCGGTCACTTTAGTGTGGAGACCTTCTGCACCATTATATCTGGAAAAGGATCACTTGGCATCAAACTCAATGCACTTGGACATCAAGGCCACAAATAAAAGGAACAATCGCAGGATAGATGATAAAGCAAGTAATGCATTGAAAATCGTGTAATTCACTCGCAATCCTAATGTCAACTTCCAAAAGATAGAAAGAACAGATTGATGGCTATAAAAGGCTAGACTTCGAATCTAAAAGAAGTAAAAAGTAAATAATGGAAAGAAACCAAAATTGTTTAGTATATGAACAAGGCATTGAATGACTTATCAATTCAAGAAGGAAGGATGAGAACCAAATAACTTCCAGATCATAACAAGAACCAAAAACAAATGAAAAGGTGAACAGATAGCAATCATAACATAAACGACACTGCTGGATTATGACTTTAGTACTCGAAGAATGCTGCACAGAATAAATCAAAATGTCCCATTGCAGCTTGACATGTTATCTATCTACCTATATAATTACGAGTACGAATAAAGAAAAACATTATTAAGTTGCACCACAAAATTATTATTAAACCCATATTACAAAAAAATGAAAAGGAATTGTTAGATGTTTGAAGAAAACAGTACACACGTTAAGTAGTTGGATAGCGTTTTGCTGCATCCCGATACGATCTTCAACGTTTCCAGTGTACATGCAGCTGATATAATAGCATTGGTGGAAGCAATAGCAGGAATGATATTCTTCACTACGCCCTAAAAATCACTTAGAAAATGTAAATCAATAGGCGCATTTGTAACAACAAAGAGTGAGTAGTTTAAAAAAAAAATGCAAGCAGATAATATGTACTTACTAAAAGAACAATCACAAGTTCTGATAAAATATAATCGACGTATCAGTTCACTAGTGTGAAAATTCCCAGACTAATATGTACCTGAGTTAGTGAATATGTAACTCCCGGTATGCCAAAAAGTTCGGCTCTCTTAACAGCCTATAGATGTGGGAAGATAAATTAGACGTTTAAAATCACGAATTGAAAAGAATTCTCAGATCTTACAGGAATTTATGTACCTCACTGTAAACCCATTTCATATGTTCTGAATCATCCGGATCAAAAGCTTTGCCACTATGAACCTAAAAGAAAAAGTATTGGTAATTCGAAGGCATACAATCACAATCATCAATGAAAAGCATGGTACCTAATGCATTACCTCATCCCATTTAATTAGGTGGGCATACTCGATACAATGAGCGGCAGTTCTAGGAGTTTCTGCTAGAGTACATAAAGGGAACTTTACTTGAGGTGGAAAAAGCCAGATGGTACACTCGAAGCATGGCGTGACCCCTGGTAAAATTACCCTTGCATGCCCCTTGAAGCCTTCAGTTCCACCATCTACCATTGGTTTAATTGTTTCTTCAAACGGATTATCATCAGAATCGTACTCTAGAGGTTACAAAGAGAAAATAAAGGACATGAAGTTTGCATTCATCATCGACATAACATTAAAATTTACCGAACACAAGATGGTGAAGAGACATTAGTAAAATGTAGCAAGTAGGAGAATAGCATACCGAGGAAGCTACAAGCGACAGAATTGATGTAACTTCGAGCTTCAATGGAATCAAGACCAAGTGCAATTATGTGAAAATCGTTGTAAAATTCAATTTCTTTGTCCTCAATCCGACAAAAATGCCACACAATATTGACACCACTAACTCTCTCCATAACACGTTTTGCAGCTACCTCGGCTTTTGGCTTACCAACATCATCAAGCCTACAATGTTACATAGAGTCATTCTCCTGACAGCCATAGTTAATTAAATGACTATTGTAAAACCATATGCAAATGCACATATGAGAAAGTGATTTCCTCAATGAGTCCATGATCAAATCATATCGTATCAAGAAAATGTCCCGAAAAGAACTTTCTTTGAGGAAAATCTATTTAAGCCCATGATTTGGTTCAGTATCCTCGTACAAATGGTTAAAAAGAAAGAACATTCGACCCATCTAATTCCTAGAACAGGTGAAATCTTTACACTTCACAAATCATAAATATAGATATCATCAGTCAGTAATGGATGTAACTTGAAAATAGAGGTCAATTTTCAATTCATTACAGCACAGTATTCACCCTACAAAATGTAAAGGTTCTATTCTATACCCACCACCCAGGCCCCGGTTGTTTAAAATTTTAAAAGAACACTACGAATAGAACTCCAAAGATTCATAAAGAACCAAGAAATTAGTTGGAACCTGAAGAGAAACTGACGATTGAGATTAGTAACTTCAATGCGATCCATGTCAATTACTTCCAGATTCCGGAAACCCGACAAAGCCAAGTCCTTCAGGAGCTCGCAGCCCAACCCTCCAGCTCCTATGACCAGCACTTTCACATACTGTTGAAGGTCATCCCTCAACTGTAATACAAATCAACTTAGTCGTAAGACGATTGCAGACCATGTATTTCACACAAGGTATTTGATAAAACGTCGGAGAGAAGAAGTACCCACTTGGGAACCGGGCTCGAAATTTGCGCCGATGAGGTTACCGGGCCTAAGAAGGAGCTTATCGAGGTCCCTCGATCGACTCGATTGGACGACAGAATCCGTCATTTGAAAGCCTTACAGCGCCGACTCTGGGCTGCCGGAGGAAATTCTTGAAGTGTAAAAGAGAAGCGGGGAGAGAGAGAGAGAGAGAGAGGTAAAAAGGGGTTTTCTGGTGGAAGTGGAAACGGCGGCGAGGGACGGTAGGATTTGGGTGGAAGTGGAAGTAGCTTGGTTCTCACGCAGTACTGAGTCGCCGTTGGTCGAATCGCAGCGCCCTCAACCCCAGCGCCATTTTTCCCACGCGGGGAGATGTTAAAGTCCAATCCCGCGCGTCGGTCCAAAATTTTATTTATTTTTTTTTCTTCTTTCCACTCCTTTTTTTTAATTATTATTAAATGGTCTATTATATTACATTTAATTTTTTTACACGTATAAAAATTATACCTAAACAATTTTAAAATAGATATATGGTTCTTAATTTTATGATTAGTGTAATTAATTTTTTATTTCAAGTGATACAACCCTAAATTTTGAGTATAAATCATTTCTTTTTATTTTTTAATTAAATTTGAGTTACCATATTAATATTCCGTGGTGAGCCAAATAAATAAATAAATAGATTAGTGTTCGAAAATAAATGTTCAACTAATTATGGAATTAAGAGATCAAACCCGACCAACTGAACTACATTCACATTAGGTGAGATTAGTAGGATCTTAGGTCATTGTGGATCTTCGAAGATAAGAGGTACCCAATTCTCTCAAATTAGCTAGTGGATTGTAGCTCTTCATGTCATTTTGGAACTCTTTCATGAGGAGGGAGATCGATGAAACAATTCATCGCATTGCATTGTAGCTCTTCGTGTCATTTTGGAACTCTTGAAGAGGGAGATCAATAGTTCAATGTCGAGCTTGTGTTCTTGAACGAAGAACCATCATAATTTGAACTTATTCGTTCTAAGATATCACCAAGAAGAAAAAAAACCGATACTGATATAAAAAATGATACGAGAAACAGTGCGGATAAACAAAACAAAACTAAGGTGGCTCTAAATCAAACTTCAAACCAACAAAGGTTCAAGAAAGAGGAAAATTTCCCTTCTTAGTATGTGTTCCTCTTGTGTAGCATTATGAACTGATCCTCTTTCTCCTCTGCAACTATCATCCGTTCATATCAAATTCCCCTCTTCAGTCCTTAAACCTCCATCGCTCTCTTTCTCTCTCAACTTGCAGATTCAGTTGATTCTCTCTGGTAAAACTCAGAACTACACTCACTCACTCTGAACTATTCAATCTTCTACTAATATCACATTCATAGACTGGGATTCAGTTTCTTTCTCCTTTGGCTAAACAGGGTATCTAACCGTAACAAAATCTTACGGTCGCGTAATAGAGGGGCCGGATATCCTATCCGGGGAGACAAACTGGCTGCCCTAAGATGACTAGCTTTGGTAGACTGGAAGTGGTCTGGGAATTAATTCCTATGAACTCTAACACACTCACATTTCGAACTTGGCGTCTCATATGTATTCCAACATTCTAAGTGTTTACCCATTCTAAGTGTTTACCAGGGAAGTGGCCCGAGCGTGGAGCAACTACATTGCCATATCAACCCATGCCTATCGCTAGTAGATATTGTCATCTTCTAGGCTTTTCCTTCCGGACTTTCCCTCAAGGTTTTAGATTTCTACACTCTTATGATGCTCGTAATCACAGGATATGTGATCGGAGTTTGAGAAGTTTTTGCAACTCAATCACAATGGATGATTCTTACAGAACCCTTTTCTGTAGAATGGGAGATTGCAGCATGTCGCCAAAGAAAACAAAACTTAACAATGGTTGAGATAAAGACACCACAGCCGCAGCAGAAAAAGAGGAAATCAGAAACTACAGCTGGTGGAAGCACAATCCAGATAAGAACCCTTTCCAAGAAGAAAGATCAAATTTCTTCCAAACTAGTAATTACCATGGAGAATATGTTCAATATCTTAATTTGATGAACCATTAATCTGAACATCATGAAACAGACTGAAAAAAGAACAGTGAAATAACACAGCCCCAAGAACAATTTCCACTTTTCATCATGCCCAAGATCAACTAAGACGCGATCTATGAGATACAAAGTTCTTGTATTCATACCACTCAAATTATAACTTAACAACATCGATGATCGAACTACATAAAGAAAAGGCAAACTTTCAAACTACATTGTATGTCAGAAAATGGTCTACTCGGCCAATGTTCATAGTGAATCAAGGAATGACAATTTTCAGAATTCAGATTTCAGTGAGCACATACCACAAGAACCGAAAGGATTTCCTCTAGAAATGGAACTTTCTCCCGTTTCTAAAAAATCTCTTGAAACTAAGAAATTTCGAGGTAATCTCTAAGAGCCATTCTAACGAACTAAATTTATACATACTGAGGCAAAATAACGAAGACTGAGCTCAATCATCGCGGTTTGAAATAGCATCTTTTGGAATTGTAGACGGCTCAGAATTGGGATGTTGAAAAGAACCTTGAGCTTTCTCGAGGTAGGGCTTGAACACGAGGTGTAGGCTCAGATACCCGAAGGCCAGAGCTCCGATCACCACCACGCCGGACCTTGCCGCATTCAACTTCGCCGCTTCCTTCATCGGATCTCTTCGCCGCCGTCCCTAAAAGAACGAGATCATTTCGTTTTATCTATGATTTTACCTACTGCACTTAAAAATGTGAGTTGAACGACATGTCGAAATTTCTAAGAAGGAAGGGAACAAGCGTACAACTACACGTCGACCTAGCTGAGTCAAAACCTCTCTCTACGTGGAACTGTTGACTTTTGCCACGTCACCTCCCCAATGTAACCACTTTTCTTCTGCTCCTTCTTCCTCTTCTTCGTCTTCTTCTCCTTCCCTTGAAAGGCGAAAACTGAAAGGTACGCTCAAAATTTTCTCTATATCCTATTTGAATTTCGACTCTCAATTTTTTGTTGCATTAGTTTAGCTTCTGATTTGTTCCGTGGAACGATTCTTCTCCTATACCGAAACTAATTTAGGTTGCAGAATTTCTTACATTTGCCATGATTTTGGGTTACAAAATGACGGAAACTGATGGTTCTGATTCTAATTAGGATTGTATTTTTGTTATTTCAAATGAGTATTATGAAATGAATTGGCTACGAGTTTGAATCATGGGTAAAAGAATCGAATTGTTTAGTCTCAGTTCTGTCGCAATGGTAGAAGGTACCGATTTTCCGTAGGATGAAGTTACTAATTTCAGATTTGATCATGTCCAGAGTTAATCAATTAACGTGAATCGATACTCCAAAGTTATTGAATGTTGGCTTCCTCGGCTGTGTTTAGAAGACAACAGTTCTTGATAAGGTCTCTTGGAGGTTTTGGTGATTGTACCCATCAGAATAGGCGGCAACAAATCAAAGCCATGAGTGGGACTTCTATGGAGGCTGATGCTGAGAACATTCTAAGAGCCATTACACCTAGCCTTGATCCCAAAAGACATAAAGGCCAGGCGGGTAAGGTCTCAAGATACTGTGTAGTGGCTTGTATTTTATGCTTTATCAAGTGTTGTCCATTGAATTAAGGTGTTTCTTAGAAGTCTTCTGATTAACAATCTATATCTGCATGTCAGGGAAGATAGCTGTTATTGGTGGATGTCGTGAGTACACAGGTGCTCCCTATTTCGCTGCTATATCAGCATTGAAAATTGTTAGTTCAGACCCCTTTTTCTTGGTGTTCTTGTTATAGAGTTTTATTCTTTAATTTCTATATGGATATTTATTTTTCCTCTTTTTACTTGCTAAGGTGAATGACTACCCATTAGTTTTTCCCTTCAGGGTGCAGATTTATCTCATGTTTTCTGCACTAAAGATGCTGCTCCTGTCATAAAGAGCTATAGTCCAGAGTTAATTGTGCATCCTGTTCTGGAAGAATCATACAGTGTCAGGTGCTTCCGCTTTTTTCTATATTTTGGTCGATGAACCGAAATTTTGATATTTGGCTGATGCGTTCTGATGTTTTAGAGATGAGGAAAAGAAGTTCACTGCGGAAAGGGTTCTTGCTGAGGTTGACAAGTGGCTGGAAAGATTCGATTGTCTTGTCATTGGTCCTGGCCTTGGAAGAGACCCGTTTCTTCTGGTGATTATGTTATTGCTTTTTGGCTAAATTACATGGTTCCTTCTTGATTTCAACTTTGTCCATCGTTGTTTCCAGACTTCCAAACTTTGGCTGACATGTTTGATAAAATGAAACTTTTCTGTAGATTTGACTAGTGGAATATAGAAAACGCCTTTTCCTTTTTTCCTTTTTTCCAGACTTTCAACTATGCTTAGTTCTTTTGTTGCATCATGCCTCACTTTAATAGACACGTGAGTAGCTAGTTTTAAAGGTAGCCATTCCTCCCCACTTCTAGTTATTTTACAGTAGAGGGTTGTCTTAACGAAGGACTTAATTAAAATTAATCGAAGGTATGGGGTGTGACTGAAATTTTCTGAATGGAGAGGATGAATTTGAAATCAAGTGCATGGTTAGGGATAAATGATAGATTTTCCTTGTTTTTTATGTCTAAATTTCCCCAAGTAGATTTAGTTGCAGTGCATGGTTCGGTTGTATTTTCTTTTCTGAAGGACCACGACGGCATGTTCTTTCCCAAAATTGGCATGCATTACTTACGTCTAGATGTATTGCAAGCTTGCCTACCAGAGTACCTCTGATAATTATACGTAATATTGAGTTTCCCTTGCTTCAAATGCTAAACTTGGGACCTAGAGATTAATTGGTTATGTTATAGGCTAGAAACGTATGTATTAATGCTCATTAGGGATAGAAAACCCATATGTGCTAATTTGGTGTAAATTCCATAAATGGTTGTATCTTGATACCCCTAAAAAAATTTCATGTGAACCTCCAATCGATTGGAATTCAAAGATAGAAACAAAAAATAGAATAAATTTGTTTTCCTGAGGCTTTGTTTTTTTTTTTTTTTTTTGGTTGCAGTCCATTAAAACCGTCATATGAAGTTAATTCATCCATTGTTTCTTTATCTAGATTGATCTGATATTTTCTGCCAGTCTCTTTAATACCAAGAAATTTTCTAATGGTTGAAAACTATTCCAGGAATGTGTCAGTGAAATCATAAAGCATGCAAGGCAGACCAATATACCAATGGTCATAGACGGGGTATGCATATAGCAGAGCACATACAATTTGAAAGAAATTACCGTGTTTATACTGTTGTCATGCCTGCCATTTTCAATGGGTCTGTCGGTGGCTGCTTACTGCCGGTTGTGTTTGTTGCTTTATTAGGATGGTCTCTTTCTTATCACGGACAATCTTCACCTTGTAAGCAATTACCCCTTGGCAGTCCTGACACCAAATGTAAATGAATATAAGCGTCTTGTGAAAAATGTACTGCTTGCTGAAGTCGATGAACAAGATGCTCCTAACCAATTGCTGTCTCTTGCCAAAAGGTAAAACCATCATGCTTTTCATTTGAATAGTGTATGGACATGCTTATCAGGTTTTTCTTGCAACGGTGACATGCTTATCTCTATAGTGAATCTTGTATGGACATGCTACCTTCCACACCCCTGAAATCAGCACATTTACGAAAGTTAGCAGATGAGAGGCTGGTCTCATCTGATCAGAATTCACCATAGACGTTACTACATATCCAGGGCCCATAATGGTTTCTCTATATTATTATTAATTATGGGCACGTTCTGTAGTCTCTAGCCAAATGGTTCAATGTAAGAAAAGGAACATTTTGGTGGGGTGTCTCATCCTTCCAATAGTCTGAATCACTCTTCGATTTATTGCATACATCTTTCTTGACATAATTATTTCTGAAGAATGAAAATCTTGACATTAGAATGAAAATATAACTGTATCCCGCCGAAGGAATTGTTCTTAGCTAGCTATAAATAACGTACGGCAGATTCCATATTATTTAATATAGATGGAGATAGTTTTCCCTATGTCGGTTTACTTCATCCTATTTTATAATTTCTAACAAATATTATAAAGTATTACTTCTACATGGTGCACATTTTTATTTCATTCAGTTCTCCAGTCTTTGGTGCACTAAACGTTTGGATATGGTCAGGATTGGTGGCCTAACTATTCTCAGGAAAGGGAGAGCTGACCTCATTTGTGACGGTGAGACAGGTACTGATTACAACTACTATGTATTTTCCATGTTAACGTTATAGAAGTGCTACAAATTCAATGTTCCTTTCTCTGATTTTGTAGCCACTGTGTCACCTACCATTGTATCATCACCTTTGTGCTAAACTTTACCTTCTGGTCAGATTAGGAAAAACTGATAAAATTCTCTGTCATGCCACGGTGGAAGTGAACCAAATTGAATATGGATTGAAAATGTCCTTTCCAATTTCTGTAAATTTCACAGGATCTCTGTCCTTGTTATAGGAATTCCGGTTTCTTTAGTATTGCTGTAAATATTAATATGGTGTCGAAGTATTTCCCTTGCTAGATTATACTTGATTCTTCCTTTAAGTGAAATCATGTGACACCTGATGCAGTCAAATCAGTGAGCATTTATGGTTCTCCTCGCCGTTGTGGTGGCCAAGGTGATATACTTTCAGGAAGGCAAGTATTGCTATGGGTTTTCATTGTTCTTGGTGAATATTGTTTTTCTAACAAAATTGACCTTATTTATTTTCCTAATCCAAATTCGAGAAGCCTAAACTTCTGTACAATAAGGTCACAATTTTTTTCTTTCCCCGTGGTCCAGTGTTGCAGTTTTTGTATCTTGGGCTCGGCAACAAGGTTTAGTCATAGATGGGAATTTGGCTACCAGGCAAGTTCTAGAATTTAAACATCGTCTGTTCTTTCGATCTCATTTGACGAATACGTATTTCCTATAATGTTTTACACGAAACCCTTTTCACATGTAGTCCAAAGAATCCAACAGTATTAGGTTGCATTGCTGGATCTGCTTTACTTAGAAAGGCTGCATCACTTGCATTTGAGAACAAGAAAAGATCAACCCTTACTACTGATATCATCGAGTTCTTGTGGAGAAGGTACTGTCAGCTTTAAGGATGTTCAAACAAAAATTAAATCAGCTTCTAATATCAGTTCCTTTTTTGCAGTCTGGAAGACATTTCTCCAGCTCACTAATCGAATATGCTGATCTTGCAACTGTGCTGAAGATACTCATGGCATGACACCTACAATGTTTGGCTATACCATAAATTTGACCATCATTTTCTCTATTGTCTAGTAGGATTCGAACTTGGAACTAATTATACGGCGAGTGTTGTATCCAATAGTGTCTCTATGGTTTTGTTTTTAGGCTGTCGCCATAGACAAAATGTGCAGTAATTTTGACGTTCGTGTTCATACGAGTCAACATCACATGACTTAGCATATTACTTTGTGGTTCAAATGTTAATGACATCTATATATTTGATACGAACAGGTGGTTGAAAATGGCCAAAACATTAGTGGTGTGAAATTCAAGTCTCCATTTGGTAGGATTTGCAAGGATAATTCTACAAAGTCACGGATTTTATTACACCGAAAGCAAAAGGGCTTTACATCAGACTACAAGCAAGCAAAAAGAGCAGAAAGAAAGAAAGAAAAAAACACACCATCTTCCTCTTCAGGTCAGACATAAATTTGTCTGTTAGGTATACTCTCTCCCCCTCCTCTTCTGATCTGCATTCTCAACCACATATAAAACACCATATATATATATATATATATACACACACATACATATATATATATATGTGAAAGCTCCACTGCTAGGGGACAATCTGTTCAACGTGTGGCTGCCATTGCTGCAGGCCCAGGCCCCTCCACCTGAGAAGGAGCATCAACCACAAAAAAGTAAGTCTTAGAAATGGAGTCTAGTGATTGATTGTTTGTCAAAAAAAACTTAAAGACTGTCTGAAAATTACTTTGAATGTTGCACCCCAAATCTCTTCCTCATTAGCAGGAACAGCAGTGATCTTGTTCTTAGGATTCTGATAGCATCTCAGTTCACCAACTTCTGTAGATAAGAAACACCCTGCAAAAATAAAACCAAAACCCTCCATTATCGTTACAGAACAAGCTTTTTATGGATACGAAGGCTTTGGAAATGTCGGGGAATCTAATCTACCTTGAGGAAAAGAAGCAAGCGATTTCCCGCAAGCGCCCTTGAGCAGATCGGCGTTATCGGAAAAAGCCACATAACCATCGGCGGTGATTCCCCAGTACAACGGAACCTTCCCATTCCGATCCTATCAGAATCACAGAACAAAACTAACTATAATTTATCCCATAAAAAGAAAACAATTAAAGAACAGCAAGAAAAAGACTCTTACAGAAGCGACGAAAAGAGTGGAGGTGGACTTGTCGAAGACGATAAAGGCGAAATTGCCGCTGAGATGGCCGACGACATGGCTGGCCGGATATGGAGCTCGGTCCCGGAGGGCCTTGTATGCCTCGATCACCAGAACCACCTCGTTCGCTGATTTGGCCAAGCCGTATTGCTGCCGGAGACTCCCTAAATTGTCCAAAACTCCCGCGAATAAGCAGAAAATGTCGTCCTTCACCGCGAACGATCTGTCGTCACGAATTAATTCAGCAATTAATCAGTCATTATTATATCATAATTTGGATTAACATCTCCACCCTCCACGTGTCGTGCATTCGTAGCTTGAATTTTGATTGGCAAATTAGAGAAATTTTACCTTTACTTTTTTTAAGAAAATTATCTTACTTATTTTCAAGTCAAGGATTAATGAGCAACTAAAGGTAGATATAAATAAATAACTAATAACGAACAGTTAGTTAAATGGAATTTATTGATATTTAATAGACGCACAGTAAATAAATGAAAAAGAGGATTTATTACTGCTTTGATCCAATGGATAAGTTTCAGAAAGAGGACAAAATTAGGACACACGTGTCACGACGCCAATGGATTATTGTCTGACAATATAGTCAGAACAGTATCATCTTTGATCGCACGTGTCACACACGCTATCCACGAGATCGACAAATCGCAGCCATTCAATATTGTCAAAACAAACTTTCATCAGAAACTGCTTTTTTTTTTTTTTCAATAAAGAACATCCGAAAAAAAAATTAATAATAATAAAAAAAATCTAATTTTTAATTATTTTTAATTTAATAAAAATTTTAACCGAATTTAGAGGACTCCATCGAAGAAAATCGACAATTCCCAAATATATTTCCGTCGGTTTCCTTCCAGTTTTCTCAGCAGCCAAACAGCCAACGGTTGCAATAAATTAACCACCAATTACGGCGGAGATTCGAAGAATTTAAAGCCTCCGCCGTCCCGGATCGTCCGATCACCGATCGACCGAATTTCGAGTTCATTTAATTTACTGATAGTTAGGAAAAAAAAAAAAAAGATTCTGATGCGACGGCGGCGGAGGCGGCGGCGGATTTAAAACAAAACATAGTAATTTTACCTGGGGCACAAGGTGGATTCCGTTTCGTGAGTGTAGGCGAGGTAGGCATGGTCCCCTAGCTGCAGCGACACGGCGGAGGAATTTATCTGGACGAACCGATTCAGTAGAGCCGCGGATGTCGTTTTCGGAGACGGCGTACGGCTTCCGGCGGCGACCAACTCGTCCGGCGGCGACATGATGGAGCTGCTAAATACTCCCAACATGGCTTTAATTTCAAAAAAGAAAAACAGAAAAAAGAAATAACACTCAATGAGTTCGGACGGACATGGATAAACAATCGCTTGCTTTGTTGGGTTTATATAGAAAAATGAAGAGGGTATTGTGGTCATTTCACCCCCTCTCCATTTATTTATTATTATTAGTTTGATTTTAATTTTTCGTAAGGAGAGAAAAATAAATTGACGAATGCAGCCACGTGTAAGAGGAGATTGAAATCTGGCGGCTGGGACCCACCGGTGGCGATGAATCCTGAGCGTTAGGATGCTGACGTGGAGGAATCAATGGACACTCTTTTTTTTCCTTTTTTCTTTTTTTTGTTAACTCAAATTAAAAAAGAAATTTGATTAATTTTTCAGATAACTTTATTTATATTATTTTTTTTAAAGATTAATGCTTTTATATTTATAGAAGCTATTTCCTTGTTGGGTGTGACAAAAAAAAAAGCATGAGCAACTTGGTTGGTTGTTATATATTAATAGAAACTTAGGAAATAAAATGTATTTATAATAATTTATAGTAAAGTTTTCAAATATTATTGTATTTAATGTTCATTTCAAATTTTAAGGTTTTTTTAAGGACAAAATGTTGAAATAAGTCCAACATCTTCCAGCTCTAAAATTAGTATTACTTGCCAAAACAATTATTCCTAAAAAAAATTAATATTTTTTTAAAAAAATAATAAACCCTTTTTTTCTAATCTTGGATAGATATTTAATAGCGAATTATTTTAAAATTTTATTACAAATATACAAAATTAAATTTAAATATTTAGAAGTTTTAAGAGGCAAAGCAATTTGGATAAGAATAAAATAATTTAATTAATGGGCGGAAAGGACCAGCTCAATTGCGTATTAGTGGTGACCTTCCTGAATGAAATCCAATGATAATTTGCCACGTGGCTGCTCGATGGTGGAATATTAAGTACAAAAGCCACCTTATATTGGAATATTTTCCACAAATATATAATAATCCGGAAAATAGATAATTTATTTTTTTTCACCTAATCACCTAATTAAAACAAAATTAAAACAAAATTTTGATTATTTTGAAAATTGACAAATAAATAAATAAAAAGATAACTTAATTATGTCTATCATTAAATGTGATTAAGTGATAATCCTTTTGATTTAAGCATTTTAAATTTTAAAAATGGTTTTAAGGATTATTTTCATAATTTTAAGAAAAGCTAAGAGTAAAAGAGTTAGGTTAATTATTGTTGGTGGCATTGACCTATAAATTTTATCCCAAAAATTAATTAATTAATGGGTCTTATTAAAATAATGGTAAATGGGTATTACTTTAATTACAAAACCTGAAACACGTAGAAAAATATATTTTAAATTTTTTGTAAAAAGAAGAACCCAGTATTTCATATGATCTAATTACCCGAACTACTTAGTCTATCTAACTCAAATCGATCTGGGTTGGATTATATACTGACAAAAAAAATTATTTTTACGACTATTTTTTTTAGTTGACAAAAAAAAAATTAAAAATTCTTCGCACCATCTAAATACACGTAAAGTCAAACATGAACTATCTAAATATAATAAAAGATGTAATAAATTGTACCATTAAAAAAAATTAATTTTCTTGTCTAGTAACACTTTCAATAAAATTTCGAATTATAAATATAATAAATAACAGAAAATTGCAAGAATGAAGAATAAATCTTTTTTTTTTTTGTAAAAAAAAAAAAAGAAAAAAAAAGGAATTTGAATCTTAAAGCCATCCATACTTGCAATTTGCTTGGAAAAGGTAAAGTGATAATTAAATAAACATCATAAGGGTATTGTTGGAAATAAAAATAATGACAAATTTGAAGATATTTTAAAGCAAATAAATAAATAAATAAATAAATAATTTGGTTGCGTCAAAAGTTAATGTGGAAAGCGGTCGGCCAGTGCGTGGAGCCCGTGACAATTGTTACTAATGACGTGTTTTCAACGTATTAAAATAGTAAATTAAATAATATAAAATTTATGTGTTAAAATAATTTTTTTAAAATATTAATTAGATTATAAGTTATTTATATATTATAATTCTTCAATCAAATAAATAAACAGGAAAATAAGTTGAATCCATCATTAAAAAAAAATAAAAACTAATATTTTAATATTATCTCTATCCACGTAGACCTTTAACTTATTTTAAAATATTTTTTTTGTAAGGAAAATATATAGATATTTCTAAAAATAAAATTAAAGAAAATGATGCAATTTGTGATGGGACGTCCACAGTTTTTGGGTATGGCCCATGGTTTTCAATGTTACTTCAAATACAATTATAAATTATAATTACAAAAAAAAAAAAAAAAAAAAAGAATATTTAAAGCAGACCAATCCAAAAAGAGGGATATAATTAGTAATTGGCTTCGAAAAGTGGAAAAAGACAAAATAAAAATAATTATGGTTTTTTTTTTTTTTTTTAATTTCATTAAAAGAAAAGGGTAGTGACGGGAATTTAAAATTAGAGGTTTAAGCCATCACCACAATAAATAAATAAATAAATAAAATTATTAGGGGAATAATAATAATAATAATAATAAAGTGAGAAAGAGCCACTTATCTTCTTTTTATTTGTTTCCATTGACCTTGGAGGGACGTTTTATTTATTTATTTTTAATTAATTAATTAAAAAAAAATAACCACATTTTCATATTTGTATGGGACCACTCAAAGATGCACGACCGTGGGGATGGGGAAGACTTCTCTGTCTCCGTCTCGTTATCTATTTCAAATTTTATTTTTACAAAATTACTTATTTATTTTTATAGGTATGGAGAGAATCAATAATTATATGTTTTAATCAGATTTTAATATGCTTGAAATATAAAACTAATTTTATATACTCGTAAATGTTTTGACTAATTTAGACATAACTCAGCTAATCACACGAGATAAATAGTCAATAAATTCGTAGGATTTTAAAGCTAAATTATTATTTCATCTCGAGAAAGAAAGTAGAAGGTGGTGATTTGCTAAGGAATTAGATGTAAGTTGGCCGAGGAGGAACGACGGAAATTTCCTCCGTCGGAAGAATGGATCGGCGGAGGATGAAGGCGGAGGACGCCGCTGAAGAACGCACCGGTAACAGCTCCGATCACCGGAGCTGTAATGTATATCCATATGTCATCGAAAGCCCATGAAACCATTGCGGGCCCTAATGATCTTGCTGGGTTCATCGATCCACCTGAAATGGGCCTGCATTCACTCAAAGCCCATTAGGAAAAATAAAATTTATATTTTTAATAAATAAATAAATTTTAATGAATTTCATGCTTAATAAAATAACTTATATATTTGAAATTATTCCAACTAAATTTTTAAAATTGAAAATTCTTCGACTAAATTAACCGATTCTATAATTTAACGGCATATACCCGGCAATAAACACAGCAAGCCCGATGGCCATTCCAATGACAAAGCCTGATAATTGACCATCCTGCATCATATGACAAAAAAGGTATCTAATTGGTTCCTAAACTCGAACTTTCAATTGGATCATTTAATGGTTCAACATGGTTTAAAATTGAAGATTAAACATGTAATTTAACTTACGGGTCGGGGTCGGGATTGATGGGGTAAAGAAGAAATTAGGAACATGAGGATGAAGGTTGCAAGAAGCTCAACGAAGAAGGCAGACATGGAGCCACGAAATGGTCGAGTGGTCAATTGTTGTGGTTTAATGTCGTAAACGAACATTCCTGCATATGTCGCCATTACACAACCTGTCGTCTGAGCCACCGTGTACGGCATCACCTAATTTCCGACAAAAACATCCTTAATTTCAAATTTTAAAATTTTAAAATTTTTAAAAAAGTATTTAAGAAATTTTAATTGTACCCAGGACCATGGAAAGTGGCCAAAAATGGCAGAGGCAAGAGTGATGGCAGGGTTGAAATGAGCACCGGAAATGGGAGCAAAGCAGAATGTCAGAACGCCGACAGTCAACCCGGCGGCGGCGGCGTAGTCCAATAAACCCACCTGACCGCCCATCATCTGGCCGGTCGCCGCCACCCCACTCACGCAAATCATTAGCAAAAAAGTCCCCATCATCTCTCCCAAAACCTACACCAAAAGAAACAAAAAAAAAAAAAACATGTTAGAGCCTCCGCCGCCGTTGGTTGTAATAGGAAGGTCCGGTGGGTTACCGGGCGAGCTGGATTATGGTCCATTATCGTCGGTTGTGGGGAGCACAAGAGGCCATTGTTGCCGGAGACGGCGGTGGGGATTGGATTGGTATTATTTGAGGCCATTTGTTGGGGTTGGGCAGTGGTTGTTGAAGGGTAGTTTTAAACTTTTAAAGCATGAGTTTGATGATGGAGTTTAAAAATGGGTCTGTTTTGGTGGGGTAAATTCTGCTTATTTTAAAGCCTCTTTGGCGTGTTGCAATCCGCTCCTTCTTCCAAGCGTACTTAATGAGTTCACACCGTTTTGCCCATAACTAGTGACGTACATTTTTATTTGCGGCTCTATGAGAAGCGATTTCCTTCATTGGCTAAATGGGACCGGAGATGAGATTATATTTCCTCACCACTGATCCGCCTATATCACTTCATTTAAATACTTTCACACTATCACTCCCATAACCCCTATTAGTGGTCACACGATTGCTGGCCATTGCCACCATTGATGACCACTAACCACACCCACCTTGCTAGTCATTTGATTAAATAAGCTCCAAATTGAGTCATAATATTTGGACTCGAAGTTCAAATAAACCAAATGGGTCGTAAAAAAATAATTTGGTCCAAATCCAAACGATTGAGTACAAAAGTCATTTGAGTCAAAGTGCACACCACTTTCGAAAAAGATCCAACATATAAGATCAACAAACCAAAAACCACTCCGAACATACAAGATCAATAAGCTTAAGGTCAAACAAAAAAGCAAGACCATCGAGTTAAGGGTTGATTCAACATATGTGCAAGATCACCGACCAGCAAATTTGATAAGTTTGCTTGAGAATAGTTGCTACAATTCTCGAGTCAAACATACGTACAAGAAATTATATCCACGGGATAGGGATGATGACAAGGAAGCCTTCTTATCCCTATCTC